ACTTTACTTATATTTTCGTCGTTTTTTTAAAGTTTTATTTTATATAATTATCTTTACTATAAACATTTTTTTTTTATTATTCGCGACTGTGATAAAATTGGGTGTAATTTGTAAACAGATAATTGGCATTATCCAATTAATCCAAGTTCCTATTTTATCCGATTTTAATTAGGAAAAAAGGTGTTGAATTCCTCAATGTCTCTTCCGTGGTTCGACGTAACGCCTTTAAGGTATTATTATTTTCCAATATTTTAGAACAGTTTAAACAATTTTGTTTACAAAAACAATATTACAATGAAATTAAAAAAATGTTCAGAATTGAAATCAGATAAAACGGGTATTTGCACTGTTTGAAATAGAAACATATGTTTTAAAAAAAATAGAGCTTGTACGCTTTATAAAAGTTGAAAAAAAATTAAATATAAAAATATATCCCATTGTTTATAAGTTGTAGTTTTAGTGAAAAATTGCCTATACAACGCGCCTTAATAAATGCACTTTTATCACAGTCACGGTGCCCCTTAACATTTTAGCGTTACAATTGAGGTATAAGGTGTCCCCAACAAAAACCTAACAATGAAAAAAGGGCAAGTTTTAGACCCCCTCCCAAAAATGTCAGCCTATCAAAGTAGTGATATCTACATTGTGGCCAAGTCTGCTATTTCCTTAGTTCATAACCACTTCCGGTTCTTGATATTGTAAATAATTGTGAATTGCAGATTAAAGTGGTCTTGTGACAAAATGAGTTCTCACTGTCGAGGAACTCTGATTATAGTTAGTTTCACAGTAAACAAAGAATATTGGTGAAAAAAAAATGTTTCTACAACTCTTACGAATTTGTTTTTTTTTTTTTAATCTGCCGTGTATAAAACTACAGAATCTGTTAAATTATTGCTACTAAAATGTTTCGACCAACAGCCAATAATTATTTTGTACAGGGATTAAGAACGTTAACAGTAACGGGTTCGTTTATTTCTTTGTGGCAAAATACGAGGAACGCAACAACATAGTATGAACATTTTTTAAGAAGACAAATTGGTAATCCCCAAATTTGGTTAATTACAATTCACCTTTTTTGCTTATATATTAAACACAACTATACTACTCGTATCATAACCGCGTTATAGGTTATTTTAATGTTGTTGTATTGGGCAGACTAAAATTTAGTAGGTTGTAAATGAAAACAAACATTTTTGTATTAAATTCAGGATAAGTAACAGTTTCAAGGTTTCTTTTAATATTAGAAATAAACAAAACAATAAGTTATTCATAATTATATATACATACGTATATAGATAATAATATGTAAAACATAGAATATTATAATATATAAAACAACATAAATCTCTAAAAATGTAATAAATCAATGTATTCTAAATTTCCACAATAAATATTTATACCAAATACAATCATAATAATTCAAATATACATTATTCGCTAATATATTTTTGACATAATTTTTTAAATTTATCATTAAAAATTTAATGACAAAGCTTTACTTAAATTGTTTTTTTTTTTTAATATTTACATTATAATATATTCAAAACAATTTATTAGGAAATAAAACTTTGTTACTCTATTTTACAAGAATATATCCGATAATTATAATACAAAAATCTTATCAATAGTACAATACTTTTAATGATAAATAACGCTTGTTTTTACTAATTATTTTTGTTTTGACTATTAATTTAAACTGAAGGACTTGGAGCAACAACCAGATACGTCCATTTTTTAAAAAAATTTTTTTTCGTAAACAATTTTTGATCGTATTGGAAATTTTTTAAAAAAATGGATTTTTTTGATTGTTATTTCAAGCCGTTCAGATAAATTTTTAGTGTACATATTTTTTTTGTGAGAATAAATAGTCAAAATTCGTACAAGAATTGAATAATGTACGAGTGTTATGTCGAATACACTGCAAACATTTTTTTTGAAGACGATTCAATTTAAATATTATTAGAAATACAATACTTACCATGATTTCCGATTTTGCTACAAACAACAGTAATATGACATTCGACGAGAAACTTATACGGATTTTTACATAAAAGTTCATAGAAGACTAAGCAAATACAAGAGAACAAAATATAACACAATCTTTAAGATTGGCTCAATTTTTCTTGTAACACAATTATTATACTTATAATTAATATGAAATTGATTGAATTGTCGAAAAACAATAATAACGTTTTATTTTTAATAAGGGTTACGTGAATTTTTTTTTTTTAAATAATAATTCAGTCTTAGTGGTTATTAATTAAATTAAATTTCAATATTAATAGCGAGGAAATGGAAATATTTTCTTGTACAAACAATAATTTTGTTGACACGTAACAAAACACTTTACCGTTGCGTTACTCTAAATATTGTTCCTTTGTCATAATTAAATGACAATATTATGATGCATTCTCATTATAATATTTAGTTGTCTACGGCCTACGCTGTTTACTCGACCGAGATTCAACTGACATCCAATTAAACTTTAGGCGTATGAGCTTTATATAGAACGGGTTTGAATTTTTTTTAATGAAAACAAAATCGAGTATTTTTACACGTCAGTGGACATGTTGAATAATAGGTATAGTCGTTTAATTTATTGAGTTATAAAATAAAAATGTATTTAATCGCGGTAAAGTGCTTACTGGGTTGAGGCGGGGTTCTTCCAAAATGAACTTCGCTAAGCTTAAGCAAACTGCAGAGAAAACCACCAATGCCATACGAATGAAGTTTACATACTACCATCACGTTATGCAAATCTGTAGTAATCCTATTAAAGTTTAAATAATTGAACAGCATATAACAAACAAACAAGCACACGAGGTGACGGCGGCAGATGATAATGTTCATTATTTCTTATGAATATTATAACGGTATTTAATTATCAAAAGCTTCGTATTATTGTATTATGGATAATAGTACAAATACCAGCTAAACGGTTTTATGTGTGGAGTTTTACTGCTGTAATTTGTTAACTGTCGATTTTTAATTGAAAATGTTAATACGCGAATAATTGTCTATAATTTGTAATTGATATTGTGTTTTGTGTCAATTCAAACTAATTCTGTCTTTTGAGTAGAATATATTTATAATATTCCCCCGTTCTGAGAAAAATATGCCGCACTAATTAATATTAGTATTACGATGGCTTCGGTCTTTTAACCTTGTTTAACCCTCTCTTCCCGTATCTTATAATTATTAGGTCAGCGTAAAGTCGTCAGTCGGCTTTATAATCCTTAACCTCACAAATCATAAGCCCCGACTTTGTGAGCAAAACTGACATTATAACGTAAAGGATGTTTTGATATAAAATTGGTAAAAAAAAAAAAACAAAAAATTTAATAAGCCAATGAATATTTATTCGTTTTAGGGCGACGTCGCTCGGGGATTTAGTATTTATTTTGTACGGTTTAACAATAATATTAAAGGTTGTTTTCTGCCGGTCGAACATTTAGAGCACAATGAATGGGTGCTTGAAAATATAATATGTCATCCTCTGCCGTCCACTAAATCATTTCAGATCCACTTTCATTATTGTAGTTTCGGTCCATTACTGGAGGGCCGATGTTCGCATGAGAGTTTTTTTAAGTTCAAAATGTGGGCATTTTTGTGTCATCTTAATATGAATTCATATGTTTTTTTTTGGAAAGACCCCTTTTATATTTTCACGTATCTGATAAATTCGTTAGCCCGAAAAAATCATTCCTGTATTTAAAAAAAAACTTGCATACATTTTTTTAAAAATAATTTTACTTATATTTATCCATTTTTAACTTTGTACAATAAATCAATTCTGGGTTTTTGTCGTAATCTCGATTAAACTTAATATTAATTATAATAATATAAAAAAAAAAAAAGGTAAAATGTTTGTAATGTTGTTAAGTTAAAACAACCAAACCAGTTTTAAAAATGTATATACACAACAATGAAACAAAATTTAAGATTTAGTATATTATATAACGGGTTAAATCGCAATTGCTCAAGTATATTACTTAGGCGATTCTTACATACACCTAACAGGTATAGTTTCGTTGAACTTTTTGTTGACTGAGGAGTTAAGCGGTATTACAAAACATTGTAGTCTTATTAAATTCCATTTGAAAAGTATTTTGATTTTTGGTTGAGTACAATTTGGAGTATAGAAAATCTGCGTTTGGCAACACATACGTTTGACAGACATTTTTGACCGGCGGATTTTAAATCGATAACACTGGAAGTCATTAATCTACAAGCTACAAAAAAAACAATGTATATAGGACACTAATGCAAAACGTTCCAACATATTTCAATAGACGTCACTAACAATGACTCATCAAATTTGGCTACACAATACATTTTTTTTTTATAACCCGTTGTGGACAGCATGCAATTAAAAACAAAACCTTCAAAGTCATATTGTAAAAGGAACTTAATAGTTTACGATAAAATATGATCTTATTTGTTTTACGCTACAGAAAATTAAAAAATAGACGTTTTTAAAATTTTAATTCTCAAACATTTTAGAGTTCACAAAAAAAAAAAAAAATGAATTGTTTTGTTTTAAAATAAAAACAGAACTTTACAACAAATTAATGAACAGCAAGTTTCTTTTAGAATCATTAAAGCTGATAAAATACATTTTGTAAAATTACGGTTTTACCATAAGACTCGGTGATACAACACGGACAATGTATAGGTGTTTCATTAAGGATAAAACATTCATTTTTCTTAAAATAAATGTAATTTTGTAGTTTTTCTTTTTTTTTAACTATTTTTGTTTGTGTTATTTTACAATATTGTATAATTACCTCTTTTTCGCATTTTCCAGAGTCATATAAACTTTTGAAATTTAAATGGTAACGTACGTATGTATTTCATTAAATTAAGAATAATTTTTTGAAAATTTTGGACCGGTCGATAACCAATTTTGGATAAATACTTTTAAACTAACTAAAGTTAAAAGTAATTATCCAAAACTGGTAATCGACCAGTCAGCATTTTCAGAAAATTATTCACGCAAAGTTAACTAAACGTTATCATTTAAGTTTCAAAAGTTGAGCTCTGGAAAAAAAAATTAAAATTTGAATATTGTCTAATATTGTAAAATAACACAAGCTAAAGTGTTTTCAAAAATAAATATTACAAGTTGCAAGTGGTGGAATCACCACGACGTGTATTCATATCATACATCTCAAATTTAGGTAAAGTAATAAATTTACAATTTCACAACAACATGGCTGACGATTAATTGGTACCGACGTCGCTAAACGTCTTGTCTCAGTGCTACCAACACAAAAAAACAACAAAATATGTAAGTTCTCGATGAGTTTCTAGGACGATCCGAATTCGGACTTACCACGGAAGTACCTACATAGACGGTCTCGCACCATTCTTGGCATTTGGCCGGCCGAGGGGGGGGGGTATTTAATATTTTTAACGAAATTGTTTGTGCTCTTCGGGATATAGTCCGTGTTGCCGAATGTCGTGTGAGGGCAGACCGGACGATATCGCAGAGGAACTTACGCATTCGGATCACCCTGTATACACACGTGTACAACGACACAATGGCGGTTCAAATCTGATGGACGTTGGTCGTGGTCGTGGTGGACGTCTCCCATACGCCGCTGTTGGATTTCCTCGAGTAGAACACGCGCTCGCCGGCCACGCGGTCGCCGGGGTGGTTCGGGCCGTCTATGAGCTTTATTGTCTGACAGTGCGACCGCGACCGTTTGAACTTGTTGCAAGCCGACCGGTGAAGGTGGCAAGAGTGGGAACGGCGCACGGACGACGACTGCAGCTGATGACGGCACTCGAGCCCGCCTCCTTTCAGCTGATGATGATGATGATGGTGACCGCCGGCCACTCCGCCGTTGTACGACACCACGCTGTCGTCGATGGCCGCGTGGTCGGCCTGGTAGTCGTCGGTGCCGCGGGGCCCGCCCGGCGGATGCCAGCCGCACATCCAGAAGCCCCCGGGGAAGAACAGCTTGAAGAACAGCCGTTTGAACTTCTCGCCGAATATCACGTAGATGACAAAGTTCACGGACGAGTTGATGGTGACCAACAGGTTGCTGACCTTGACCAGTTCGTCCACGGTGATGCCGTAGAACGCCTCGATGATGTTTGATATGAGCGCCCAAACGTTGCACAACAGGAACACGACCACCACGCACAGCAACATCGTGGCCAGCCCTATCTCCTTCTTCTGCAGCCGGGACAACCGCTGTCGCTCTCTGTTCGCCATCCTCACCTGCAACGACAAAACACGGAAAAATACAAAAAATATAACTATCGGTTTACAGCAATGTCGATTTTATCACATAAATCGTTTGACACGAAAAAATGCATCGATTGCACCCAAGAGGGCGTCGCACCGCACCATTTTTAAGGAGTAAAGTATAGGCAATTTTTTACAAAATCTTAACTTAAAGATTAAACTGTGACGTGTAATTATTAGTTCAATAACTAGGACTCTATTTCGGTAGTTAATTTATTTTTTGAACTATCACAGCATCCTTGAAAGCAATTTAAAAATGTTTTTTCATCTCTATGTGTTTTAGCAGACTGAAAATAACTCGCTTAATTTTGGTTTTAGAGTAAAAGCACACATTATAAAATTAAAAGAGAACAACATTTCGAAGGGCAAGACGGTGCGTTTTTTTCATTATTCCAAGTATAACGCTCAATACATAGTTTAGAAATAACGACTATTTAAACATTTTTTAATGACTGTAACTTTTCAAAAAATGATTTTTTTTTTAAAAACGTACCGTCTTGCTCTCCGGAATATTGTTTTTTTTTTAATTTTATAATGGGTGCTTTTACTCTAAAACCAAAATTAAGCGAGTTATTTTTAGTCTGCTTAAACATGTTTATACCACTGAAAATCACCGGTGCGACGCCCTCTTAAGTATGTATGCATGATACATAAATAAAAGTATCCAACAGTTCTTGATACTGCTTCAACAAACGTTTTATTTTTATATTGATTCATGTATAGAATAAACTGTATTTGAATGAAAAAAATAGTATCAATTCCCTACTGCTGATTCCACACTAGTCATATTGTTTCACTAACAAAACCAAATTAAACATATTTCGAGGAATCTTACAATTGAAAGGTATAAAATATTTTTTTTCACTTTTACCTTTTACTATATCTGGTGGGAAATAATTTCTTTGTTAATGGGAACGGAAAGCGCTATTTATCAAGGGGCAAAGGATAGGCAATATTTGACAGATTTTCATCTAGTAGCCATTTTTAATATGCCGACTAACTTTAAGGAGAAAAAATATTAAGTTTTTCTAGTATTAATACTTTTAAAGTTATTTTTCTCCGAGTTATGGCGAAAGTTTGATAAAAAATGACTCACGTAGAAGTCATTTATTCTGGCGTATCTATTGGACGGATTTTAGTTTTTCTTATTTGTAGCTTACGGTTTTTTTTGTGGGGCTAAATGGCCGATTTTTGATTAAGCAGTTAGAAAATTAGTAAGATTTATTAGAAAAAAACTATAAAAAAGTAAAAATATAAATGCTTATACAGTTTTTTTGAAAATAAATATAAAAAATCAGTGTTTTAACCCCAATAGATAAATTGTTAAAAACAGTTTGGTAGACACTTCAGAAAGTAAACAATGCTATGCTTTCCATTTGCCTTAATGTAATAATTTAGATCTAAAATTTAGTAAACAATAAAATGGGCTAATAGGCTGATTTCGTTGGCTAACGAAAGAAATTGTGATATCGGATGTAACTTCTTTCTGAAAACAATAGGGTTATTATACAATTATATAAAAGAATTAACCTGTCCGTTCGATCGGATCCTTCCGACTGTACTATTTGTGGCGAATACTATAAAAATATTGTTTATTGAAATAAATTACATTATATTTAATATAAAATAATTTATTTTTCATAACAAACAATAATACGAAATCTATAACAGTTGAGGTAATATTGTGTTTAATATTTTAACGAAATATTTATACTCGACTGTGATACTACAATATTATGTCAAAAAGCAAAATTAATTAATTTGATATGCTCGCATCAAACATTAAGTTATAGCTTAGACTACCTGAGGAAATCATTTAAAATTGTTTGGTTTATTACATAACCAAAATGGCAGTATGACCTGTATATATATTGTTTAGTTTTGAGTTTATGGGCGAACCACCAAAGTTCAACTTAAGTAAATTGAACATCTGTCAGCGTAAGTTATATATTGCACGAGGAGAAACCTGTGGTACTAAATACTTGTTTCAACTATTCAATACATTGTGCTATACGTGACATAAAGTAAAATTAAAATTCCGTAACTGTCCTACAACAAGTTTCATTCCAAAAGCATCTAATAAAATATAGTTTTAGTTGTACAAAAAAAATAAATATATATATAGGCACGTCTTATTTTAGTCCAAATTATTTTTGTATAATAATGTTTATAAACTGAGTTCACTGAAAATATTTACCATTTTTCATATAATATTCCATTTAGGAAAATATCTGAACACATTTTATCTTTCTACATTTTTTAGAAACTTTAAGCACTTTGAAGTACCTAGAATGCAACAAACTCGCGAGACCCAGCAAAAACTTTACACTCCATTTTTCCGGAATATTGCGTTTTATTTTATTTATTTATTTACCGAAAAAAGTTTTTTAAGTTTAGATAATTCATTTTATCTACTTTTTTCCCTTGTCGTCAGATTCCATAATGATTGATATAACGATCTTCAAACGTATAAAAGTTAAGTTTATCAAAACTACTTATTGGATGGCTTGTTGTAAAATATCTATCGATTATTTTTTATTTTATTCACTCTCTCCACCGCAGTTTACTATTATCACTGTTTCGACCCTAAGTCTATTCTACCGGATGATTCTTTTAACGTCCTACACCAGGTTTTCCCTTAAAATTATTGCAATTTTGTAGTTTTAATTTTTGAAAACATTTTTGTTTATGCCATTTTACAATATTAGACATTATTAAATGTGTACCTTATCTAGTATTTATTTAGTGCTTTATTAACTATTGAAACTTAAATAGTAACATATATTTATTTATATATATATATATATATAATCTTGACTTAATACTATTTTAAGGGTCTAAATTTAAACATTCATTAGTTATACTTGTTATTTCTTTTAGTTTATTATTTGAAGCACAGTCCCACTAGTTTTGTATTTTTTATATAGTTCTCTTTTGTTTACCATGGAGTTCAAGTCCAAGTTCTGTAGTTAACTGGTTTTTTATCTGTTATTTTTTATTACATTTATATTTTATATGAAAAGTAATAAACCAAGAGTGTTCTTCTGTAAAATGTGATGAAACAAATTAATTTTTGTGATTCATCTATTTTTAACTTCATTCAATATAATATAAAATAGTATAGTATTATACGTGATATGATAAACTATAACACATATTGATTAAATGTGTGAATATAACTTGTTTATTTTAAGTTTATAATCGAGAACAAACATGTTGTTTTGTGTTTTTTTGGTTAAGAACTTATTTAATGTAAAGTATATAAAAAACTCTGTCCTAACCCTTTATTTAAAAGGATTAATGAACTTAAAAATACAAACTCAAGTACTAGTAGTATTTTTTTTTATCAAACAAATTTAAAAAAAAACAAATGGTTATTAGGTTTGAAATTTACCTTTATTATATCATATAATTTATAAAATTAAATATTTTCTTTTTATACATTTTGTTGTCTATAAAAAAAAAACAAAACTTTAATAGCCAAGCAATAGTAAAATAAATTTCCTATATTAATAATTTATATATTAGCTATACATTTTAAAACTAAATAAAATGAGGGTAGTAAATAATATGTATATATAAATAGAGTATAATGCCCAAGCAATAAAATATATATTGAATATAATGGTTTTATTTCACAATACAAAATAATTACTATGTCATTGAAATAAATAAATAAGGAAAGTTGAAACTATGTTATGTATAAAAAATCTTTTTAAAAGCTGAACTCTTGTTAAACTTATTTCACAAATCTTTTATAATACTTCAAAACGCATCTGACTTCTTAGAAGTGATACAATACACAAGTATTTGTATACAAATCTCTTATTGAGAGCTTTTAAAAGAAGTAAATGTTGTTTTTAAGTCCATTAAGAGAACACAATTCAACCATTTATTAAAAGAGTATAGGCCTTTTTTTGTAAATATGTTTACAAAGAGCCTTAATTATAGTGTATACTTATTAATATCAGTTATGAGAATTCTTTATTGGTGTTTACTTTTTGTTTGGCTATTACACTTATTTTCATAGAAAACATTACATTTTTTCCAACCAAATCACTTTTGAGCGAATCAAAACCAAAATTGTTTAGACTTAAAAAAAGTTATAAAATCACTTTTTTTTCTACAAGTTCAAGAATATTGGAAATATTTCCAAAACGTTTATGAAATCTTTGTTTAAAATATATTTTTTTAAATATAAGTTTCCTTTTAAGATATTATTATATAAAATATATTGAAAGTATGTTTGACATAATTCTGAAAATATATGAGCTTTTTTTTTTTTAATGCTGTATGGATTACTTTTTATCGTTTTTAAACAACATTTGTTGCAGTTATAAGTTGTAACGAATTATAAAACTTTTGGATCGGAAACCATTTCAACCCCTTTCTGATGATAAACGCACAAATAAGTGTTTCAGTTATCGACCTAAAAATATTTCCATTTATACAATCGCTTGTCGTTTAACAACGACAACTAACCGTAATCGCAAAATCGAACTATGTCTTACGGCAATATTATTTGAAGACATAATGGTCCACAAATACCGTTACGGTGAATTTATTAGCAATTCAGACTCGGCGTACTTATGGGTTAATTCGTTTAAGGTTCATTACCCGTAGCGGCCGACATTAAAATTTCAGAAATAAACTGAATGCGCAACATCAGCTCGCATTCAACTGAAACCCAAGACATCTCACTTCCGTGTAGTTGCTTTTGTTTTAGAATCACAATTGTTTACATAAAGCGCACTGTAAAAGTTTTACAGTTTTATTTGTAATTTCCAAAACATAATAAAATAAATTGTCGTCTGACGTTGGCTTACAAATATTATCAATTATTTGTACAAACGCGTTCCGAAGAAAGTTAATAACTATAATAAAATTAACGGGTTTTCCTATTTCTTAAAAATAGCCACGTTCTTTTGTTTTTACAATAACAAAGGACTTTGGCTAGAAAACTACCGACTGCC